ATCTCACTGAAATTTGCCAAAAGGAGAAGAAAAGAAAATCCGCAAGACCGTTTTCATCGGAATATTAAATTGTTCAGTTTTTGGCAGTAGCTGACGTGGTTTGGTTCCCTTCTGCTTAGCGCGGTTCAATGCTCCGCACTGGAAAAAAACACATTGGATCTAGAGTCCACTCTTGAAACATCGACAAGAAAAAATACTCTTGATTCAATCAGATTCAAGCTTAAATCAAAAGGAAATCCTCTCAAATTAAGAGGCTTGGTTCTTGATTTAATCTTAAATCTGATTGAATCAAGAGTACTTTTTCTTGCCATTGTTTTCAAAAGTCTGAACTCTAGATCCGAGCGAATTTTTTTCCAGTGCGTTGGACGGAATGCAAATTTCAATGGTTCCTCGGTTCTTCCAAGGTTTGCAAGATAAGCTTCGCAGAAGAGATAAATTCGAATCGAAAAAAAATAAAATTCCACTCATTCTGCGTCATCTTCGTCCCTTTCCTCCTCCTCGCTGGAAGTTCAACGGGATTGACTTGTAACACAGCCCCCCCCCCCCCCCCNCCCCCCCCCTGGATCTGGGGCCCGATCGGCAACGCGGCGATTGGAAGAGGACGTCCCGTCGGAACGGAGGGTATTTTATGAGAACTGCGCGAGATTATTCACATGCGATGCATCAAAACGACGTTAATTGCATGCATGAGTTATGCATGCTAACAGTGCTCATAGATAAGACTCGCGGCCCGATGCAACGCAGCGAGAACAACGCAGGACCAGGATCCAGTGCGTCGATACGCCCGGGTCGAGGCACCGGCAACGACCGGGTCGGGGCACCGGCAACGACCGGCCACCGCGCCGTGCTCGGCCAAAGAACAGTATGTGCAAAAAATATAAAATCTAATCGAATAAAATACTCCGGCCGTTAAAGCCGTATCTACGGGCTATATACACATGCCGTCCGCGTTCCGGCTTAGAGGACGAAAGTTCTGGGAGTAGCATCCGGAGCAGCTGAAGCTACGGCTCCAGCACCCGGAACTTTCGGCCTCTGAACCCGGTATGCCTGTATAGCCCGTAATTTTTTTTTTCAGTGTATGACTTATGGACCACTAGACAAGATACGAATATTCTGATACATGTTTCTCAGCCAGACTTTTACGCTACAAGCAATTGTCGCATCAATAATTACTGAAATTAACTCGTAACTAAGATATTAACGTTTTATTTTACATTGGTTGCGAGAAATTGAAATCGATCGGTCAAAAGGAATACGCAGTACTCCACATGAGTTGTACGGGTAGCGGTAGATACCATGAAGTGTTTCAAGGCGCTGAGTGGATAACTATTTTAACTCCGAGGACGGTTTGTTGCATAACCGGTTAAATGAAGGCGAAAACGAACCATTGGACAAGGTAAGAAGTTAAGCATTCTGATATAGGTTTCCTAACCCAAATTTCACGTAGAACTCGATTCTCGCATCGAAAATTACTGAAATCAACGCCCGAGTAAGATATTACCGTTTTATTTTCCATTGGTCACCGGAAATTAGAATTGCCACAATGAACGAATTACTCTACGTGAGTCAAAACACAACTTACAAAGGGTTTTGACATCGACAGGCTCCTCCATTGAGCCCTGTTCCTTTTGCACCCTTTATTGTTCATAAAGTAACCCATTTGCTACAGCTGAGCCAAAGCGTCAAGATTGAGATTGCTATATTTTCGTATCAAAGAGACTGAGATAGTGCGGTATTTGACTCACGTAGACCATTGCGTTTTCATAAGCGCCACCGACAAAAGTTCCTCAAGAACCTAAATTCTAAAAATTCCTCTGAGGAAGTACACCTGGATTGCTTACTTCATTCTCTGATTTCCCTTCACAGGGCAAAAATTTTTGGAACCAACACCAAAAAAAAAAAAAAAAAAAAAAAAAAAGAAGTTTGATTTAATATTAAAAAATGTGTGCAGGAACTCATAAAATGCTAGATTATCCGCTACGGCAGTTAGTTTTACATCTTGACATTGCTGAAATTACTGCTGTAGCACTTAATTCAGCATTTTGTAAGTTCTCGCACACTTTTTTTTACGTCCAGAATGTTAAATCAACTTCACTTTCTTTTCAGTGAACTGGAGAACGGCATCGATTTGGCAATGCTCACTCTATATTATAGAAACACTATTCCTGAGCCTATCCCAGCTGCACAAAGCCACACAGTAGCCCCTGACAATTAAGAGAAATAAAACATAATTGCAAAAGCTCGCCTGTTCCCACGACCGAAGCCATGAATGAACGAATAGACAAATCAATATTAAAATTAGTTAATAAAAACTTCAAATCGGACGGCCACCTAGGCTTAGCGCAATCACTTCTCGTTTATAAAACACTGCGCAGCAATGATCGATTCGAGAGCAAATGAGAGCAGGTTGAGCCTACTGAGGAAATCGCGCATGCCACGTTGTGATGCACGGGGTGGGTTCTTCTAGCAAGATTGGTGTAAAATTGGTGCACTTACGGTAGGTTTGGCAGCGTAGGATGTGAGCTGGGGCTCTGCAACCTGGTTGCAGGTAGGACGGTAGGTAGGCGAATTAATCGTGGAATGTCAAGCGCTGCCGCCATCATTCCGATACAAAGTTGCCTGATTATGTGCAAAATCTGAGGATTTCAAACGGTAGATTGCTAAATCTTGCCTGGAGTCGAGACTTTAAAAAAAAATTGATAACCAAAAATACTTATAATGCGATTGGAATTCTGCTTCAATCAAAGGAAGAATTAAATTAAGAGGCGTGGTCCGCCTCCGAAAGAAAAGGTCCAAGAAAAAGTCCGATTGAATCAAGAGTATTTTTTCTTGAAAATTTTTTTAAGAGTCTGGACTGTGGATCCAGAAATAATGTTTCCACTGTAAATTTAGTTACATTTTTACGTTTGAGAGACAATGTAGTGTCCTGGTTGTGATTCATTTTTAGTTCTGGACCGCATTAAGTAAAGAGGAACCAAACCACACCAGCTATTGCCATTTAATTGGGAAATTTTATTTTTTACATGGAAACGGTTGTGCGGATTTTTGTGCAAATTTCAGTGAATTTTCTGCATAGTACGAGGCAAATCCCTTAAAATTTTCAAAATAATCCACACAAACGTTCTCTTCTAAAATATTAAATTGCCCAAGTGCATTTCGCAATAGCTGATATGGCATGGTTTCTTTCTGTTTAATGCGGTTCAGAACTAAAAAGAAATCATAGCATGGACCTACGTTGTCTCCCAAACGAAAGAACGTAACTAAATTTACACTGGAAAAAATTTACCTTGGATCCAAAGCCTAGACTCTTAAAAACATTTGACAAGAAAAATTACCCTTGATTCAAATAGATTTTTTCCTGAATGTAGAACCAAGCATCTCAATTCAATTTTTCTTTTGATTCAAGCAGAATTCCGATCGCATCAAAAGTATTTTCAGCTGATGTGGCTTGGTTCCTCTCTGCTAAACGCGGTCCTTTCAGTCTTGTTAACCCAATTTCAGTGCATTCCTCCAGTATTTAGTATTTTCCAACAGCCTCTTATTTATGTCGTTCAATCTGAGTCTCACAATGAGTCCGTTAACGTCCCGGAGTGCATGAGGCGCACGCTCCTAATGACCACCGCCTCTTCCTCCCAGATCCGGTGACCGGGCTATACGGACGCGAGCGCGCGTGTGTGCGTGTGTGCGTTAACTAGCCGACGTGAAAAATCGAGCGAGTAGTTGAAAAAGCACTCGGCGGCCATCAAGTTGGGGGACGGGGGGACGCGGGGGCGGGGGGGGGGGGGGGGGGGGTAATGAAAATTTAATATCGCGGTTCCCACGCCTTTTCACCGGGGCCGTCTAATGGCGGGATAAGGGGAACGTTTTGGATCGGGTCGCTGATTAATTCGATGCTGATTAATCAGGGAATCGTTGTTTACACAAGCCGTCGACTTTTATTCAAAACATTTGTCACGGGGAACGCGCGCCCCCTTAGCCCCCTCTTGCCGGTCGAGGATACGTCATACCTCACACGGAGGAACGGGAGAACGAGGGGAGAGCCCCTGACCGCTACGCGGTCCGACTAGGGATCCTAGTGAGTGCTTTCCGTTTCCCGGGAACTGTACCTTCCTAAGAACGGGATAACGGGTACTATCCCGAGAAAATGGAGATGTTGCATGTGTGAGGGATTTGGAATTTAACTGATGATTCTTATGTAAAAGTTCGCGAGAAACACGATGGTGCCACTGGTTTTCCCTGAAATCAACTCCCAAGCTCAAAAAAAGCTCTCAAGTTGAGGCCAAAATGGAGGGGATATCCCACCCTACCCTGAGAGTCCGCTTCTACATCAAGACAAACTCTCCATGCAAAGATAGGGAGCAAATACATTGACAGGGCTGCCACTTCATTTGGGGACTCCAAAACTGAAAACACGGCAACTCTGATAATGTATTTGCTCCCTATCTTTGCGTGGAGAGTTTGTCTTGATGTAGAGGCGGACTCTCAGGATAGCGTGGGATATCCCCTCCATTTTGGCCGCAACTTGAGGGCTTTTTTAGAACTTGGAAGTTGATTTTAGGGAATAACAGTGGCACCATCCTGTTTTTCGCGAACTTTTACACAAGAATCAACAGTCAAATCGCAAATTCCTCACACATGCAACATTTCCATGGCAAAATGAAATCCATTCATGCGTCGGGATCCAAGTTTTCCGGGAAGACGAGGATCAAGAACCATTCCTGAAATTTCTTGGCTAAAATCTACTTCTCTTGGAACTTTGACAGAGATACACACACGTAGAAAAAGTAATCACTGTGACAAGGAACATCGTCTTTGTCGCAAGAGAGTTATAATGTCTCGTGTATTAAGAAAATAAAATTTCATTGCCATCTCGATAATTTCTGGATGCGAACAAATATTATTAACAGTTAAACAGGAAAATTAATATTAATCTCAGCTGAAGTTTTGTAAGTATGGGATGGATAATTTGAAGGCTAGCTGATTTCAAATAAATTTCTTACCTTCGAAAAGTGGAAATCCTCTGGATCCTGAAACAGAAAAGATTTATTGTTATTAGTTAAAAAAGTAAGAGTTGCTTAAAATATTGAAACTTTCAAAATAATCTGAATCAATGTATTTTGCAACTATCTGAATCCGTACTCAAATTAAAATAGTACGAGGGTGTATGCCTCCTGGTGACCAGGCTTCGCTCCGCGATCTGACCTCTTAAAGAACCTCGCGCCTATGCCTCGTTCGTTGCGCGCTTTTCTTATCGCTTATGCATAAATATATTATGATTATGATAATTTTTTTCCATTAATTTTGGTTCACTGATTTACCGGGAGCTATATGCGGACAAAACAAAAAACAAATTGAAAAGCAGGTCCTAAAAGGGATTTTATAAATCCTACACAATGCATTCCGTCACAGTGCACTCATTGAACTGAACACTAACTGCATATTATAATACTGATAATATATCCCCATAATATTTTTAATCAACGAATAAAGTTAATTTTTTGATTAAAAGAACACGATTAGGACGTGATTCAACAAAATATTATTTATGTTCTATTTAGCGTGCTAAGATGACACCAGGCTCCGCATTGGATTAAATAGGGCCAATCATAAAATTAAGGGGCTTGGAGGACACGGCGCAAAAGTGCGGTTTTTGCACAAAAAAATCGAGTTATCAATGATTTCAAGTAAAACTAGTCTGATTGCATATTCTGTGAAAACTTCGCACCCAAATTCCAATTTTTAAGCATCAAAAAGTCAGTTTGAACTTTCTTGCCGCTATGAGGCTCCACATAATTTCGAAACTTCAAACACGTATTTCTCGAAATAGTAAAAACTGATCTCATGCGCCTTGTCCTCCAAGCCTCTCAATTGGACTTTGATTTTTTTTTTTTTTTTTTTTTTTTTTTTTTTTAAGATATTCATCCTACCTATTTGGCGCGCTGAGCTGATATCAGGTACCGTATTGTATGAAATAGGACCAATCATAAAATTCAACTATTAAAAAAAAGTAAGTCAAGATTTGTTTAAATAATCCAACACAAGCCCGAGGTCCAGGCCTGGACATGTCTCACGTATGCATCCAAAGGCAATTTCGCCATGGCCTCTATTCAAACGGCAAAAAACACCCTTAGGCCGGCCTCACAGAAGGAGAACATGAAAAGAACACCGCCACCCTCATCCCTCGTCTCATTTCGAAGATGTTTACAGGAGATATGGATTCGCCCTCTGCCCCGTCAAGAAGACACTTGACAGGGATTAACCACCCCTCACTAATGTATTTATACGCCTCGGATGAAGTCACAAACAACCGAATTGATACTTGGCTCACACTTAGGGCTGACTTTAGGGATTATTAGATGTAGCTCTGCGTCAAATTAAGGGTGTAAATGGATTTATGTGACGAGCACGGATTAGAATCATTGAAGGACCTCTTTTCAATGGTCCAGAAAGTAAACATTTAAAAAAATGAAAGAACGTTTGAAATTTATTATAAAATGTATTAAATTTGGTCATCACCTCCCTTTTTTTATCACAATAAGGTCTAGATATTTTCATTTGTGTAATTTTCTTAATATATTTTTGTTTTCTGGTTGAGGTAGGGTTGAATCCATTCCATAACGTCCCGGGCTTTAGGTTTTGTTGTTTTAAGCCTTCGTTAAACGTTTTCTTGTGTTTTTTAGTTATTTAAAATCTAGTTTTCCCTCTCCACCCTCTTTAAATTCCTAGCAGAGAGCTCTCAAAGTTAATTTTCGTTTAAAATAATATGTTAGAAATTATGGATGCAGCTATTCTTCTTCAAGTGCCAACACATCACTGACAGTTACAATTCCTCACCCGGAATAAAAACGTATGGAATCAGACCACAATGTACACACATAAAGGCAAGAAAAAATGAACAAAAAACATTATTAGAAGGAAAAAATTACCCGAGTTCAGAACCTGCCAAAAATTTTTATTCTATGATTTGAAGTTTTGTTATTTTTCAGTTTGTTTTTCTTAAAAATTTGTCTCAATCGATTGTGAAGGGAAAAACATTCATTTTCTTTAATATTAGCTGGGAGGAGTGAAGTTTTGGCTGAATATTTTTATTAAAAAAAAAAAAAACAGAATTTCTTTGTGATAGCAGCTATGTCACGTTTTTTCAACAAGCTGAGAATCGTAAAAAGTAGCCAATGAGTTATATATCCACGTTGTAAGATCCACATAACTTAAAGCTAGAAATTAATGACTCATTCAATAAATAGTGTCATAACCTTATGATGAAAAGTACTTATGCAATTTAAAAAAAATCTGATAACTCAATCATTTAATATTTATCAATTGAATTACGACTTTAAAAAAGGTTTTTGCAACATCAACCAATTTTTTTATTAGACGTCGCGATATCTAGTATTAAAAAGTTTACTTGAATCTATTTTATGCGTTAAGTGCCTAGGTTGCATCCTCGGGCAAAACTTAGAATGAAATACACACGCATGTAGTTCCTCAGTGTTGATGCAATTATCATAATTCAAAAAGAATCATCGCGATGACTTGCAGAAAATATTAAAAAATATACTATAATATAAACAACCGACCAACCAGTTAAATCATTTTTTGGTGTTGAAAAACTTCACGGTACCTAATTAAATAATATTTCAAATTTTTAATAGATAGCTTTCTCGCAAAGATTTTCATATTTGATGCGAGGAAAAACTCTTACTTTCAAGGCAAAACTTCAGCATGCGTGTAAAAACTGACAGGCGAGAAAAATTCAAACCGACAAGCCCTCACCCTCTTTCAACAAAGAATCCCACCGTGAGGTTTGTATAAACCTTCTAAAACAACGATTAACCCCCTCCTGTGATGTTTCCGTGTTCTATAACATCAGATACGCTGGATACCTATTACCAACATAGGATTATACAGCGCATTAGAGAATGTGAACTAAAAGAGCGTGACACCCTAAATGGCAAAAAAATGCGTTGAATCCTTTCGAGAGGCTGTGGTTACCTTTTTTTTTTTTAAATGAATATAAAAAAGGAAACAATCGGGTCACTGGGGGGTTATCTTTGTTACATAGAGATCGACCCACTGCGAACTTCAGATGAGTTACGAAAATTGTTTATCCGTTGTCATTTGTATTTTATTTTTTGTATTTTGTATTTTTCTATCTTTTTCCTCTACAGTAATTTCTGAGCTTTGCACCACTCAATACCAAGAAAATATTCAATTTCCTGACTCACGTATAGTTCCTCGGCTTTGCCCGTTTTTACATTTTCTCAACAAAAGTTAATTTTCACGCGTCTGTAACAAACTACACCTGGAGGTTCGTTTAACTTAACTTACTGTTTTCAATATCAGGTCCCTTTTAAGGTTTATGAATACTCATTTTAGGTAATTTATTTTCTCCTTTTTTTCTCAAATGTTACCAAATGCTATATTTTCGATTTTTTTTTTTCATTTCAAGTATTTGCTGTCTTTGAAAATTAGATATTTTGAGTGCTCAGTTTATTTGAAATATTTTTTTCCTATTTGAATTTACTTACAGATGACTCGGAAGATGTTGAAATGGATTAGAAGAGTAAATTCAACCAAGAATATCAAGGAGATTTTTAAAAAAATCAACCGTTGTCAACACTCACGCTTTAAAAATGTTCCGTCTTTTTTTTAAGAAACCTTATACTTTTATGAATCTCCTTTACAAAATATTCATTTTCAGCCATCTGAAAATTTCATCGATTCAAGTAATTAAAATCTACAATGCTCATCGTCTATTAGCTGTTTGCCAAATTTTTTTCAGTTCTCCTGTTGTAATTATAAAGTGTTTTCGTCGCTCTAATCCTCTCAATTCATATCCTTTAGATTGCGATCATTATAATTGTTTACCGTAATTTAAACATTGTCTTCCATTGATAAACAAGGATTGACATTTTCACCATGAAAGATTATTAATTTTTCAAAATTGCGAATTGGTTTTCAGCTCTAGGTGCTTGTTAAGTCATAGATATGCAATATGATGTTTTAATGGTCGGTTTAACATGATTTTCGTATCAGTGTTGTCAGCGCTTCAAGAGACCGGTTTACGGTAAAGGGCGATTGGAATTTTTTTTGATTTCTCAATTACTCTTTCATCGAAATAAATTGTGATCCTGCATAAAACTATGAAAAATCTCACTAGTAATGGTTATTGTATGCAGCCCCGATTGACTAACCTCTTATGAAAAGGTAAAAATTCACCCATTCCACAGGAGGAACAGCACTGATTTACATGCAAGTAACCGGAGTGTAAATCAGCTTTTCTACATACTACACAGGTATAATCATATGTGATTACTGTACAGTGTTCTAACGTCACACAATTCTACCTTCCTATACAATCGTTAAAGTCTCTTGATGAATGCTATGCTAAGGTGTGTTATATGCCCTTGAGTGTTTCCACACCTTCTATTTGAAATGATCTCCTTTCTTCAGTGGTCTTTTAACATTGCATTATCCTACCCTCCCTCTTCGTTCAAGCTTTTCTCGACAGACATATCATAATGTGTGCGCCAAAGCACGATAAGAGTTCTACTAAATATTACTGATTTTTTAAAGCATACGTTCAGGAGTTGGAATTATCTTTCCAGTACCTGTAGAATCTAAACTTCCTATATTTTGTGATTATAACATAAAATTTAAATTATTTAATTTATGAATACTCTATCCTCAAGGGAAATTCAATCAAGGTTATCCCAATAGGGTGCTTGATTCGCGAACACTTGAACTTATCGTTCAATGCAGAGTAATGCCTGCATCACTAAGTGAGATACTATAGATTTTGGGGTATAGGAAGACGTCGGGTATTTAAATAACTGCTTCATTTCGGGGAAAATTAAATTGAAGTTTATAATGACAAAGTAACTGATCGACAAACTATTGAATTTCATTCGATTTAAATCAAGTGATTTTCACTGTTATGCGATATGTATTATTAGATTTTGTAAGCATGAAACAACATTGGCTGTTTATTAGTATCTTGTTTTTAGGGGAACTTTAATTAAAGTTATTGCAATTTTTGACAGACGATTTTTTGATCGAGGAGCGCTGCTTATTAAAAGGTAAGGTCTTAACTATTACACTGAAAAAAATATGCCGGTAGATTTTACCATCTCTGACACAGTGATACGAATATGGTAATAAACACCAGACTCTATGGTGGCATTTACCATACTATGGTAAGAATCACCAGAGTTCTGGCGAATACTACTATAATTCTGGTTATTTCCACTAAATAGTATCACTGTGTAAAAAATCAAGTAGACTCATAGTAAATGTCACCATACTTTTTTTTCAGTGTATGGTGTGAGATATCTTAGAATGTGTAGATAAATATGGTGGGCGGCACATTTACATGTACCCTCAAGGGAAATTTAAGTGGAGGTCATAGGAATGTGACAATTTATCGCGGAACTTTGGAACTTTAGGTTCAAATTAAAAAGTAATGGCTTCACTGTTATATGTGAGATATCTTAGATTTTGTGGGTGCGGGAAGCCGTTAGATACCTAACAAGATGGTAAAATAAAGCTGGGTCCACACTATTTTGCGGGGAAAACAAGGTCGAAAAGTTCAAAAATTTCAACTGGAGTGAAAAATTTGGGCTTTAATGATTACCAGTACAAGACTGAAGGGGAAAGAGTACTCAGCTCAAACCGTTTACATTGGAATATCACACATACACTGTATGGAACACTCTCCTCCTCAGTTTTGTACTGATATTCATTACAGTTCAAATTTTTGACTCTTATTGAGATTTTTGAAGTTGTTGGCCTTGTTTCCCCCGCTAAATAGTGTTCACACAGCACTACTTCGCTACCTTGTTACACACAGTTCGGGCCACGTTTCTTATGCTGTTTTTTCTCGTTGGTTACTTAACTTACAACCATCTTATCCTGTGGGAACATTTGAATCGCGATCATCACAATCGGGCGATTTTTCAAGGAACTTTTGGACTACAGTTCAACTTAAATTTAGGCACTGTCTTAAATGTTACATGTGAGATAGCTTAAATTTTGTAGGTTTGAGAAACGTCAAGTACACATTTATCTTATCTTCGGGAACCATTTAAATCACGGTTATGACAGTGCGGCGATCTATCAAGGAACTTTTGAACTACAGCTCAACTTAAATTTAGGCACTGTCTTAAATGTTATATGTGAAATAGCTTAGATTTTGTAGGTTTGAGAAACGTCAAGTAAACATTTATCTTGTCTTCGGGAACCATTTAAATCACGGTTATGACAGTGCGGCGATTCATCAAGGAACTTTTGAACTTACACTTACAGTTCAATTTAAAGTTAGGTGCTGTCTTCAGTGTTATATGTGAGTTATCTTAGCTTTTGCAGGTTTGAGAAAACGTCAAGTATACATCTATCTTATCTTCGGAGATCATTTAAATCACGGTTATGACATTACGACGATTCATTGTGGAACTTTTGAACTTAACGTTCGATTTAAATATAGTTAATGTCTTTAATGTTATATATGTGAGAGATCCTACGTCTCGTAGGTTTGGGAAAACTTCAGGTACTTAACTAACAACTATCTTATCCTCTGGGAGCATTTGAATCGCGGTTATCAAACTGGGGCGATTCACTGAGGAACTTTTGAACTTACCGTTCGATTCAAGTTCAAATGCGTCAACTGATGAGTGTTGTAAATGGAGCCGGGCATTCTTGCCATATGATTCACGTCGGTCAACATGTTCGCCGGGCGAGTATCCGTCACCACGAGAAAACCCTCGAAACCATTTAGGGCCCCCGGAAAAGCGGGCGAGCGCGGCGCGGAGCCGGGAAAACTGGGGTAAACACCACCGCGGGAAAAAATCAATAAACTGCCAACACAATAATCGAGTAATTACACGGGGCAGGAAAACAAACTCGGGGGAGGGGGGAGCGGTGCGACGGGGTGCGAGTGTGGTTCCGCCTGGAAGCTAGGAGCATGACTGGCCGGAGTCCGGGGGCCCGTCCTTCCATGCTGGCGGGAGTCCCCACTATCGGGGGGCGGGGCCGGCGCGAGGCGGCCCACCAATCCCAGCCCGCCTCCGACCATCCCCGATATTTATATTCCCCTTTCATCGCGGGCTCGCGGCGAGTCGCGGGACACGTGTCCGCTTGTGTTGTACCTTGAATAAATTAGTCGTCGCCGCCGTCGTCGTCCTGGGCCCGAATTTTTCCCCCATTCACGGATTGTTGATGAGAGCACCGCGCCGGGCGGGGGCTCGGGGCTTTGAGCCCTTTCTGTCCCGCCGGGCGCCCGACAGGGTGCGACTCAAGCTTTGCACTCATTTCATAAATTTACACGACATTGAAATAAAAAAATAGGTCTTATAAACCTAAATAAGGTGTTCCGTGGACTGTATTTTTCGTAGCCGTGCTTTTGGTTATGGGAACCGTACTCTGGGTTCATTCAAACAAAATGCTTCAATAGTTCAGTTTGGTTTGAAAGCTTGGTCGCAGTAACCGAGGACACAGTTCCTAGAAACGAGAGTACGGTTCCTAAAACCAAGGGCACGGTTCCGAAACTGAAAGTAAGGTTCCAAAAAACGAGGGTATGGTCATTTGAGCCGTACCCTAAAACGGTTACAAGTAATTTTTTGAAAAGTATTAAAGTTTTGGCCGACGAAGAGAAAAATGTTGGGGAGAATCATCCATTTTTCTATGTGACCATCCAATTATACCCTCTTCTATATCTAGACTCCACAGCTACCTTTTATTCTTGGAAAATCATTAGGACATCCTAGAACAGCGGGGGATAAACAGGTCCTTGTCCCTTGTAAGAACGGAACCATAGGGAGAAGAAGAAGGAAAAGAAAAATTTAAAACACATGCACAACTGCATGACTTCCTGCAGATATTAATGAGACCTGTGTGCTTTGCACTACGATGCAGCTCGCAGAACGGACATGATAACATTTGCGTTGCGTTTTGCAGAACCAGCTAATCGCAGGAGCACTACCGGTACTAAAGATTGCAAAAGAAGAGCTCTCTTGTGTTGAATTGCTTTTCGAATTTGCACGTGCTCAAATACGTTTTTGTTTTCACGAAACAAATCTTAATTTTGAGAAGACAATGCAATAATTACATAAATACTTATCACTGTGCATGTTTAATTAAAGTTGCCTCATATAAAATGCGTCTGTTTTCATTTCTTTCAGGAGTGTAAAAGTATGATCAAAAATATTTTCCTTCAAATACCAACAGCATATTTAAAAAGATGACAAAATAATGTATGTTTCTTATAATTCTTGATTAAATTCCTTTCAGCCTGCACTTTTTATATGTTCCGGTTAAAAAAAGTCTCACACTTTTTATTTTCTCTAACTTTTCTGATTGATAAAAACTCTGCTAGTGATGTTAATTTTGATGGCATAATGAAGAAAGGCAGTGAAGGATAAGCCAAGAGAAAATGTGAATCATCCTAAATGATGTAAGATGCTATAGAACTTTCTTCACTCCCTGTGCTCACAAGTATACCACAAAGACTTATTCTCCATCCGAGTCGTCGCTCCATTTCTCTGGTGTCCTCTGATCTCTTCTGTCTCCGTCAAATGCGGTTTCCTCTAATTTCGAAGCTCTCCCGAATTCTCGGGTTCTTTTGCGTACTCTCCTCTCGAAGTTGCCAAGTAGCACGCCAAAAAAAACATTAAGACACGATCTCCATGGGTTAGTTTTGGGGAGCTTCTGACGATCTGACAATCTCTTGTTCTTCGGCGTGTTTCCGTCCCTCATAATTTGAGACTCGGGGCTTCTTTCAGCCAGGGCCACGGGTGCGCCTATCGAATTAATTTTTCCCCCGACGCCATCCCGCTTCCCTCTAATTTTCTTAAAATAGGAATAGCGAAAGAGGTAAAAATAGCCACTTGTTCAATTTCCGAAGATTTGGTCGACTCCTCGGCCCCTTGCTGCTTTCCCTTCGCGGTTCGCTGAAACCTCCCTTATACCCTACGCTGAAACCTCCATTACTTTGGAAAGTGAAGTTACTTTCCAAATCAAATTTTTTTTTTTTTTTTTTTTTTACTTTTTTGGAGGAGCAAATATAGATAGATTACGAAAGGAATAGATATACAAAGAATAACATAATAGATTACGAAAAATTTTAACAAACTAAAAAAATACTATCATCTCAAGAAATGTATATAAATCAATGCACAAAATTTCTGTAAATCGAAGATACATGAACATTGTTTGGCATTTAAGTTTCGAAAATTGTACCAATTTCTGAGACATTTTTTTTGTAAGTACATCTTTAACAATTTTGGTGTCCAAAGCTCCAAAAAATTAAAAATGATATTTTTAGAGGCTAAAATTTGACAGATCACAAATGAATGTGAAAATTTTTACGCACAAAATACTCAGGAACCGATGCCACAATGCCGTAGAGAAATAAGAAAGCTTTATCAGCTAACAAATTTGATCTTTGATCATGATAAAACATTTGAATCTCAAGAACGTTGTCAGAATAAAATTAGTGCTTTCACCTTTAAATATTAAGGATTTGAAATTTTTTTACTAAAAAAAAATAACTCGGAGGCACACTCATCAGTGTTAAAACCGCGCAAAAACTGGCACAGATGCGACAAGATTATGTCGCGCTGGTTGTGGTTTGACATTGACCTATTCCGCGCGATTGATTACAGTGACTATTCGTCACCCTCCTGACATAAGGACGCAACTGCACCTCGCGATGAGCCCTGTCGTCCTTATGACTGCATGCTATCCCAGGCTCATCTCAGAGTGTAATTACGTCCTTTTGTTAGCCGAGCTTCATATTGGGCTGTCCCACTTCCACGACGGAGGACTCATCAAGATCACCATCTACCACCGAGTTGCCATTAGGCTGTTAAACTCTAGAGTAAATATTTTATGAACCAAGAGCTCATTTTGTTTGATAGAGAAACTGGCAACACTTGGAGCAAATCAGGAAGCATGTAGTAGTCCTATTCATTTGTTTCGTGCATACCGGAGTTTCTTATATCCCATACGTTCTGGTGCAAAAAACTTGCGATTTCGTTTAGACGCTGCGAGTGAGTTGCGGTCCTCTGAATACATGGCTCTGGTATACATTCAGAAACAAATCTAGAGACCTTCCACTGATAACCCGGCGATGGTAGAAACTTTTATCCTCTGCGGTTCAACATTTTCTAGTAGACAGCAAGAGTCATTTCACTTTCTTGTTGCCTGTTAGCCTTCGAATTCACCAGCGTGCATGCCGTGTGAATTCACTGAAAATCAGTTTGTTTGTTGATTGAAGTGGAACGTGCATGCCGTGTGAATTCACTGAAAATCAGTTTGTTTGTTGATTGAACACGGAAAAAAAAACATTGCTGTAATACCCAGGCGGGTGGGTAAAATAGAAATTTCAAATTGCTAAAAACGGGACTTGCAATGTGGGTGGTAAAACAGCAAAACAAATTTTTGCTTGAAAAGCAAAATGAAAAAATGCGATTTTCGCAATGTGAAATTGCTAGTACACCCACGTATGAGCAATGCGAAAATCGCCGAATGAAATTGCTGGTTTTGCAAAATTATTGTTAAGTTAGCAATCTCATTTTGCGATTTTCGCAATAGCAAAACACAACCGTGTGCGCGCGCTCTAGGAGACGTTTTCAGTACTATACTGCTTTCGAATGTACAGTTACATTGGTGCAGGAGATGGATCGAAGAGTTTCTACTTACCTTCAAATCCGCGCCGTCCTAGTCGGGATTAAAACCCACGCCTCGGGATGGAGTTGATGTTCGAAATCCAGCACTTTACCGCTAAACCAGCCAGGCTTGATATGAATGGGCACCTAAAGTCAATCTCTTAAACCATCGCAGGCCTCCGAGTCCGTAATATGCGTGTTCATTGATGGATTCTTTATAATATTTGGTACCAGTAAAGAACATCAGTACCAAAAGCGTCTCCTAGAGCGCGCGCACACGGTTGTATTTTGCTATTGCGAAAATCGCAAAATGAGATCGCTAACTTAGCAATAATTTTGCAAAATCAGCAATTTTACACAATTTGCAAATTCAGCAAAATTGAATGGTACAAATAGCTTTTTTAACTGTTATAATCGCAATAATAACGCTACATTCGCAATATATCTTGTAAAAACAGCAATTTATGAGGTGGTGAAAATCGCAATATTGAGATTGCTAAAGTAGCGATTTGATTTTAGTAAGTTCAGCAAAATAATTAGTAAAAAGAGCAAAACCATACGCTAATTCGGCAAACATTTTGCAAATCTAGCGACAATTTTAGCGATAACAGCATACACTAGTGATGTTATTTTCGCAAAATTTTAGTTTGCTATTTTCGCACAATAAAATTACTATTTTTGCAAATTGTTTTGCCATTCTCGACAGGAGGGTGGGCAGTCTAGCAAAAAAAGCGAATTGCAGAAATCGAAAACCATTTTTTGCCATTTTAGCAAATATTTTTTTTTCCGTGAAGTGAAGTGCTCTATGCGTGATATAGAGTCCAAGACGCGACAAGATGCGTGGTACCTATATGGATACTATAATAGGTGTGTTGAGAAATTGCACAGGTAAATTTTTTCTCTCCCAAAATTTTAAAAAATAAAAAAGCGGACTGTAAAAGCGTCCATTAACGGTATTAATTAGAAAAAATAGGGTGACAGGTGTGTCGAGTAGTATCACAAGTCAATTTTTCCCCTCCCAAACTTTTAAACATAAAACGTGTATTGCAATAGCGTCTTTTAACGGTTTCAATGTGAAGAAAAAGGGTGTCAAGTGTATTGAGAAATTGTACAGGCCAATTTTTTCCTTTCAAACTTTTAAAGCATAAAAAAAGCTTACTGTGTAAGCGTCCACGAACAGTTTCAATGTAAAGAAACAGGGTGTCAGGTGTGTTGAGAAGCTGCTTACGTCAATTTTTTTCCTCCCAAACTTTCAAAACACAAAAAATCGTACTGCTCACAAATCAGCAATGGTGTTTATA